AATGCTGTTATGTTAGATCAGAAAAACTTCCAGCTAGTATTGCTGCTGCACATGCTCAATACTTTGCAGTCCGTAAAAACTACCGTTTTTCCAATGACATAAACTCTTTCACATTTTGCAAAATACCTTTGTCATGTGGATTGGTAAATCTTATTTCTGTAGAGCTTTGTCCTGGATGAGCGGAATATAGGATGTCAAAAAAATGCAAAAGTTAAAAAATTGTGCTTTGAACATTAGAATGCATATATACCTGGTTGGTATTGAACAATCAACTGGAACTCAGGATACTTCTTCCAGTTCACCTAGAGGGGGGAAAGGCAACAAACAACGGTAAGAGCTTGTTTGGTAGGTGGGAAAAGTGGAAGGAGGGAGGGGCGAGGGAATAAAGTTGAATGATTTTGAGACCCATGACTGTTTGGTAGGAGAGAAAATAGAAGCGAATAGATAGCGATTTTAATCTCTCACAATGTGAAGCGATTAGAAGAGCGAATCCAGAGAAAGGTCCTCTCTTTCCTCCCCATTTCCCTCACCTATGTTACATACCATTCTTTCCTTCCTATTTATTTTCCTCTTACCAATAATTCAAGCAATCAATGCATTTAAGGAAGGAAAATAATGCATTCTATATCAGTTATCACATAGCAATACGTACCCACTCATCGGTTCTGATGTTGAAGCATATGCCATATAAATGCCATGTGAAAAATGCCACCTGCCATACCAATTGGAGAATAGAGAAAATCCTTGTGCTGACAGCCAAATTTTCTGAGAGGCTAGTCTGTGCAGTTGATTACACAACGCTCCATCAGTAATGAAACAATGGGTACAAAATAAATGCAGCCCTCCGAAAAGCAATACGATAAAAGCAATTATACCTCTGAACTAAGCATGCTTGACGTCCCAGATTTTACTGCATCTGCAATAGAAGCGCAATACAAAAATGAAAAACGAAACAAAAAATTTAGAAAAATAGAAGTATAAAGAAAAAGTAATCTTCGAAAATGAAGGCAAATGCGGGGGAAAAAGAAAGCTGTAGATTAAGGACATGCATGTGATCAAAAGCCAATTGACAACAAAATGTTACAATATTTTAACGAGGCAGGACTCGAAAGAAGTGAGAAATCAGTTCCAATAAAATGATATAGATCACTACACTTTCCATGGGTGCATGACAGAACATTAACTTACACTCAGAAGAGCAAGCCAGATAACAAGCTTCAGTAACAAGGAACCCAACCAAAAGAACCATGAAAAGGAGATAATTTTTTTGACCTGCAAACAAACCAACCATATCAGCTGTTAACTCCTACGGTATTCAAAC